TTGTCGTGTTCTCTCTTTGGGGACTCACACAGGACGTCATTGGGCGGCAATAGCTCGGCCTGGGCATTGGTTACAACAGATACCGGCGAGAGTTAGAAAATATTCTGTTTCGTTGTCCACCAGCTTGAGGTACTGTTGTCGTTTATTAAATAGTGGTGACTTACCCCCGAAGGTCTCTGACAGCTGCTTTGCGGTTTCCTCGAATTTGAAGTCAAGAGGGTTTTTCGGCAGAATCATGTAAATGTACCGCTCGTGCTCGCTGGTACCCAATTTCCGTGGTAGCTGGCGCACATTCCAAGTATCATCAGCTTTGGCACATTCCGCACGGAAGATGTCTTCCCAACTTTTAAACCAAGTGTCCAAAATCACGCCAGAATCGGGATCATAAATAAATTAAGTCATGGAGGCAGCAGCTGCGTCCGTTTATGTGGACCGTTTCCCAGAAGATTCTCGATCAAAAAATTCAAAACGAATTTATTCGTTATTAATTTCATCATCTTCATGTGAGCAGCCTAAAACTCAGCTTTTTTGCGGGATAGTCAGCAATTAATCCACGGAGATAGCCATGGTGAATTCCGCGTCGTCAATTTTTGTAATTATATCAAAGCTGAGATGTTACCGTCTGAGTACGCCCTCTTTGAATCTCCAGGGAAGAACACAACAAGAAGGGCGCAAAAAATGGAAGTCTTTTAGCCTACTTAGTACAGGCTGTTTAAGGCAACCAAAGGCTTGTACAGCCATGTCCATTTGGACCAAGTAGATACTGCCTTCGAGCAAATAGTGACTCGATTGGCTTGTGCCTCATCCGACTGGCTTTTCAGAGTCCTAAGCCTGGCCGCAGTTGCGCGGCATCATCGCGTGCAGTGCGTGTAGGCGGGTCAATAGTCTGGTGTGAGAGCGACTCGCTAGGGCTGCCTGTTTGCGCGTCTCTTAGGGAGGCTCCTTAAAATATTGACACGCATAATTTTAGCCGCTCTTGTTTTGTTTTTTTGCTAACCGTCATCACAATTCCATTCCGACTCCTGTGGCGTTGAGGCCTCACATCCAGTGTCGATTTACCTGTAAACTATCATAACTGAGCGCACTATAATGAGGTTTCCTACTCTCTTGACGACTTGCCCTGAGTGCTTCGTCCTATGTAAACTGGCATAATAAACATATATTATATGCTCCCCCATATCTTTTCACGAAGCAACTGTTATCCAGTACCTTCTTTCTGAAAATATGGGGCTCTCTGAACTCCTTCTCCTCTTGTATTACAGGGGTTTATATCACCCTTTCGCCTTCACACGGAGTGGTAGATCAGTATAGTCCACTATGGTAGTAGGGCGCTCAGCGATCTGGTTAAAAAATATGCTCGTCCTGTTTTGTCTTGAAGCTCAAGACAGAGCCCTCGAAGTTAACCACATAGCGGCTTGTAATGGAACTGACAAAGACGAAGGAGATTAGAATGGCCATTTTCGGCTTATTATCCGTCATTAGTCACTCATACCCAATTTCAGGGGTGGCAACCCCCGAGATTCGACCCCGCGACTTTTTGTCGTAGAGTGCAACATCCCGTTGTTTATGTCAGTTGCAATCGGGATTGCGGCTAATGACAGCTAACAAGCCCAAAATGTCCACTCCGGCTTCCTTTGTATTTTTCGTTCCTACTTTATCCTTTTCCACAAGTCTAGATTGAGTTCCAAGGCAAAGCGGACCGAGTATCTTCCTTGACCAGATGGTAAGTGCCCAACTTTCATCATATTCGCGATCGCAACCAACCAAACTAGCGGGTCTCTGGTGCAATGATAGGGGGACATCACCCAAGTAAAAAGGTTCGCGTGTTCGGATCTTGGGGGACGCTACGCCTGGGATTGGGTATAATGGGCTACCGATGGCTAATTATCCCGAAATGGCCATTCCGGTCTCCCTTGTATTTGTCGGTTTAACTTCACAGTTGAGTATATTTAAGGGTTATATGCATTGCCTTCGAAGGCACTACTCCAAAGTGTACAAAAAGAACTCAAATTAAAATATATATGTTTCTATGAAATATTCAGTATGGTTTTCACGCATACAAATTATGCCTTTGCTAGCGAAAGTAAGGGACAGTCATCCCTTATGATCGGAGCTTCCAAGGTAAACTGATAGATCCCATTGTTATCTGTAGGTATTAGCAGAACATTTTGGAGTTTCATGGGCTTTCTTTCTGGACGAATAGTGACTTTCAAATGAATATGCTGTAAGTTAACGTCTGGATGCGTCCCTCGTGTCCGCCATTATAAATTCCTTGGGAAGTCCATTCCACGCACCGACAACTCGCTGGAAAACGAACGTCGCAAACATCCAGATGAGACAAGATTCCTCGAAAACTGAGAAAATTCTCACGCTGGTTAGTTGTTGTGGTCAATGAAAAGAATCAATATAAATGCAGGACACAGTTCCAATTCCTCATGACCCATATGTCTGTATGAGACCGCCGCGGATCTGCCTGTAGACAAGAGGGAAAAGATTGGGCGCGCCAAGTCTGCATTCGTGGGATAGGGCCTTCATGACTATTTTTCCCTTTCTTGCCAGTAGGTGGTCACCTTTTTCACTAACGGGCACCACGCTTGAACTCCATATTCCAATTGTAAACGAGTAAAGGTCCAAAGATGTTCTCACTTACTTCATTATCTGTGAAAATTCTTATCATATCAAATAAAACAATGCTCGCCCTCTTGACAGCCCTGACACATTGAGAGGAGGGGATCAAAGATAAAAATTGTGATTCCTGGGTTTTTTGTTCGGCTAAATTTCACGAATACCTTCCTATAAAGAATTTTTTGAGCATCATCCATCGCGCTAACCCTCTTCGTTTTGAGCCGCAAAGCGACATATTTCTCAAAGTCATATCCAATCTCAGGGGTTGGAACCCCCGTGATTCGAATCCGGGACTTTTGGTGACTGAGTTTGCCTCTTTACCATTGAATCACAAACCAACCGTTCCCTTGTGGACAATCGTTGCACTGAAAGGCACGACCACTTACGGGTTGGCTAAATGGCTTGCTAAACGTTTGAAGAATCTGACGGAGGGTTCAGAACACACAGCCGTGTCCTCAACGCACTTCTCAGAAAAACGCAAAGGTGTCACACTACCCCGGATGAAATAATGGTGTCCTTTGACGTCACCTCTCTGTTCACTTCCATCCCTAGAGAATTAGCCACGAGAGTCATTAAAGACCTACTGGAGTAGAGGTACGACGAAGACGACAAACAGTTCAAAAGCAAGCACGTGATGGAGCTACTGACTTACTGCTTAACCACGTACTTCACGTTTAACGAGCAGGTGTACGAGTAAGTCCAGGACACCCCGATGGGCCCACCGATCTCGGGCCATATCGCTGAGGCAGTGTTGTAGAAACCAGAAACGAAGGTCTTTCGGACTCAAAAACCAAAATTCTGGATGCGTGGCGTGGACGACACCTTCGTTATCCTGCGTCGATATGAAAGGAGAGCGCGGCTTTCGAATTTTAGCCACCCATTTTTTTGTTCTCCATTCACGTGGGAATTTATTATCCTATACC